ACTGTATACAACTGAATAAAATAATTGTAAAAACATCGTTCCAAATTCTTTCGCTTTTTTGTTTCCGATGCGATGAACCGATAAGGCGGATTATATCCGTTGTTGCCAAACACGAGCACATAATATTATTATTGAGACAGAGCGGTACTCAAACTTCCAAAGGGCTATAACTTTGTTACTTTAATTTTACCAGGAAAATGGTAAAGGAAAAAAACATTTCTTTTGATCAGATCTACTCACTGTTAAAATAAATGACTCAACTTCGACTCAACCCTGTATATGTTTTTCCATTTTGTAGGTTATAACCTATCTCTCGTCTAGACAGCTATAGTCTAAACTCCTCCTGAATAAGGTGTGCTTTATCCACTTTGTTCAGAATAATTTTCTTACCACCCCATGGTGAAGTGAGCGACCAGCACTACCATACTCTCGTCCCTATTGGTGTATTTGATCTGGACACAGACCACTTTCATCTCAGCGCCAGTAGAATTGGTGATTCTGAGCGTGGAGTTACGATGGTGGAAGCTGTAGGTAGCTGAGTAGTCCAAGGTGTGCCAGTGGTTGTAGTTTGACAGCCAGAATGGAAAGCGGCACTTGCTTTGGACAGGCGCTGAAAAAGATTTAACGTGGAACGTCACATTTTATAAAGTCATTATAACCTAAGCAATATCCAGTTTTTGATGATGATATGGACCTCTATGTACTAGTATCATGCAATAGTACCTACAGCTTTTGAGTCCAATTTCGAAAATTCTCAACAGTTTTTGTCTTAGATTTTGCCAATCTTACTTCAATATTTGCTAGAAACATTAATGCTACGTGACTATATTTCTGTTATCATGATCAATTCAACAATATTTATATGTCTCTACAAAAATATTTTTTATAAGAAGTTTTTTTTTGTACAAGTAGGCGTGTGACTAGTTGCGACACTATTTTTTTGTATTGTACCTGACTAAACTGAATCCAAATTCAAGATGAGATGTAGATAATAACGGTTAGCGCGTGATCTCTCGGTAACAGTTGGGGACAACGCCTCTTATCGGTCAATTCGCTATTAAATTTCAAGCGGTCGCCTGGCGGAATAATGCGCGGGGCAGGGGCAGGGCAGGCAGAGTTGCATTCAGGCCACCGACCGTCGCGTGTATCACTGCGTGCTCGTGTTTTCATATCCACCTTGCTTGGTTGTTGCTGTTGTTGTTGTTATGTGTATTTGAGTAATTTGTTAAGTTTCTGTTTGTTATTGTTATTCCTCGTTATTATTTGTTTTGACCCAATCCTGAACATGTCCAGTACAGATACTGCTGACGAGGCTGTAGGCTACTCCCTTAGCCCTCCTAGAAAGCGATAAAAAAAAGACATCTTAGCGTAGACATGAAAGACGTCATATTGAATACATTCAAGATAGAGCGGAAGGAAGAAGAAACATCAACTAACCCGAAAATAGCTCTGAAAGTGGCAGATAAAATTGGGGTATGCCAAGCGACAGTGTACAATGTTTTGAACGAACATAAGAAAAAGCATGCCTTTTCCAAGCCAATGACGGGTAAAAATCGCAAAAGTATCATAACATCGTTAGATGACGCTGACAAGCATGGGATTCGGAGGAAAGTGCACGAGTTCTTCTTCAGAAACGAAATACCGACAGTTGATAAAGTACTACGGGACGTTAACGAGGATGCTATGTTATCAAATTTCAAACGTTCGACTATTCATAAACTTTTGAAGCATCTTATAGATAGAGAAGAAATTGTTCTGTGGAGGAGAGAGTACCTGACCAAAATTAAATCATTCAGGGATCAGCACAGGAAGATCTATTACCTGGACGAAAGCTGGATTAACGCTGGCCACACTACTCCGAAGGTATGGGTTGACAAAACTGTGACTTCATCCAGAAGGGCATCTCTAGATGGACTGTCGACCGGATTGAAAAATCCAGCAGCTAAATAGATCGAAGTAGTTCACGGTATCAATTTTTGCGCACAATATCTCTCTATCTTCGTACCTACAAGACGTGCATGTGTACTGGATTTTATCTTTCTGGCAAAGGAAAAAGGCTCATTATTTGCCACATTGGGGGTGTAGATGGCTTCGTGGATGACGGCTTATGGTCTTTTAAGTCAAAAAAAACCACTGATTACCATGAAGAGATGAATGGGGAAGCATTCGAGAAGTGGTTTTCAGGCATTTTACCACGTCTCGAAGACAATTCTGTGGTTGTTTTGGATAATGCTCCCTATCATTCTCGCAAAATAGAAAAAATCCCAACTTCAGCTTCTAGGTAATCAGACATTCAGAGCTGGCTCCGTTCCAAAAATATAACTTAGTGAAATTACAACCATTAGATATTGTGAAACAACACAGACCAAGACATGATAAATATGTCATAGATGAAATGGCCAAAGCACACCACAAAACAGTACTCCGTTTGCCGCATTACCACTGTGAGCTCAACCCCATTGAGCTCATATGGGCAGATGTTAAGAATTTTGTTGCTGCACACAATACAATAAATTTTCTGACATGCAAGAGCTGTTCAGAATTGCTATACAGAGCGTCACACCAGAAAGATGGCAAACATGTGTGCAGCATGTTCAGGAGAAAGTGGAGGTAGCAATGTGGGAGCTGGACAACATAATTGAGAGAGATTTTGAATCCATCATCATAAACATTAATGACGATAGTTCTTCAAGTGAGTCTGAGTAAGTTTCGCGTTTTTGTTTTGTCACAGAATACATATTATGGGAATCCTAGTTATAGTGAAATATTAACTTACAGATAAACTACAGACAATGCAAGTCCGAAGTGCACCTTCAAAATCTATTTTCAATTGATTCAACAGCCTTATATTTATTCCATGTACAAAAGTGTCATCTCTACCCCTCGTTGACTACGGATTCATTGTGCATAGGGAGCAGCGGTTACCTCTGGTATGTATTTCTCCATGTTGTCTAGTTTGAAAAATTTGCAGAAAAACTTAGCACCCCTTCAAGAATAAAAATTTGATTTTGCGACACCCTTAACTATAACTACTTCACTATATTAGATACTTTCGTTAAATGCCGTGTTTTACAACACGTTGGTGGTAGTCCATCATTCGGAGGTAGCCCTGAATGCGGCCCTGTATGCCGTCCTTGCTTTTGTCAATTACGCATCCATTCTATCTTGGGTGTAAATACACTATAGGTGAAAACATGTCATTATACGCATACTTTCATATCGCAAAATGCCAATTCGATATTCTAAATAATAAGTAACAAAATCTTGAAAAAAATCACAGCAATCACGCCTCCTACTGTTCCGGCCCATTTAGAGAGAGAAGACCGACATGGATAAACAAAAATATGAATCTTTTTAAGCAAACTTGTACTCAGTTCGTTAAAAAAGGTGTTACCCATCAAGAAAATGCAGCACATCAGTACAAAATCAAATATTCAGAAAACGGATCAATGAGGTTGAAATTCGTGGCAAACATTTTTTCTATAAATCGTGGAGTTTGGGCTTCGGAAATCTTTAATCTTTTTTCAGATAAAATTTTCACTAGCTCAGGAACTAATCATCAAAAAAGTAAGTTGTATTGATGTTCTCATTTCAAAAGGGCCAGTCCAAACATGAAAAAAGTATAGGTCATTTCATTTTGAAACGTTCAATTTTGAGCTGTGGCTGAATAATAATTTTTCATGAACTGTGTTCAATTGTCCATTTAGTGTAATCATTTGAAATATTCGTAAAATCTGGTTTTACTGCTGGAAGTTGTTCAAGGGGGTATTCAAATCATGGACGCCTAAAATGGGTACATCAATTTTGTGGGAAAATTTTTTATTCTACAACAAAGACTGAGAAAATGTGTTTTTTGGGATTCAATCGAAAGTGTCGGCAGGGACGAAAAAACACTTGATATAAGATTTTTAGGTATTTATGATACCTACAAAATGAGACCACACGTAAAAAGATAATAGCAAAAATGCTATGGCCGAAAACCAAGACAAACTGCAGGTTTCGGCACTTGTTGGTAATGCGACGATGGTTTCTCGCAGATATTTGAAATTCTTTAAATTCGTAGGATTCATACTTCTAAATAACCACAAAAAAATTGAAGTAGTTTTTGGGAATTTCTAATTGTTTATCTCAAAACACCTGTTTATTGAGCAATATACAGGATTAGTTCAAAGGGAATTTTATAGCAAGATACACTAGTTTACCCTGCTGATGTGAATCGCAAACCATTTCAGAAGATAAATGTTATTTTTATGTAAAAAGGATGGATTACATTTTTTCTTCTAAAAAATTCAAACATTTCGTATTTGTCAATCAATCCAAGCTTCAAATCCGAAAGCCCAATGAAACAATATTTGCCGAGAAAATCCGGGATTTGTTAGCATCCGAGAAACCCTAAACGAAATAGAGCCTTGGAATACCACGAAGATTTTGAAGAAAACTGTAACTATCGAAAATATCGCAAAAAAGACTTCCAAACCTGACATGCCAAAGTAGAATTTTTGAAAAAAAAGATCTGCTGGCAATGATTCCTTATTTGAAGGAAGAAAATAGACAATTTTATGAAGATCTATAATACTAATATTCATAGAAGCTAAATTTTTTATGTTTTTTTCGTTATTATTTACCACAATATTTATATTTTTGTAATGGCACACATTCTGTGATTTTATTACTGTTTGCTATTTTTTACAAAAAGTTCCCGAAAGTACAAAGAGAAATACTTACTTGAATAAGCCTATGTTTAATTTACAGAGAGTTTTTTTAATACATTGATTGTAGAACAAAAAATATTGTTTATCTCAAAATAATAATTTGGGCACTTAGCACATTATTTACTTAACTATAACCTATGATTGCGGAGGAGAGAAACATAGCTGTGACAAATTCTTAGACCTAGATAACGCCAGGATATTTTATTTCATCTCGGATCATTTACTGGACGCTGGAATGTACTGTTAGGTTGGCTATCTTCGGGTAGAATACGTTAATCAATGTTATCACTAACCTCTTTTGAGAGTCATGGTCCTACTCCCTTCCGTAGCGCTGAACAACCCGTTGCAAGTAGCATCTCCACTTTGGGCCACCCTGTAATCCACGTCGTCTTCTCCTTCCGCTGCTTTTTCGTATACGAAACATCGGAAACGGTCTTCGTTGGATGTGGCGTGGTTGTGGTGGAGTTTTCCTACTAGGTATCGGCTACTTCCTTCTTTCCATACCGCTAGACATTCCAGCTCTTCAACTAAAATGAGAAATTAATCACTCTATACGAGAAACTGTCCATTTTATCGAAGAATACACTTTTCTAGGGGGTAAGCATCAGCAATACTGGGTAAGTAATAGTGGAGTATCGTCCAAGAAAGACTGCAGTTCAGAAACTCACAGTCTTATAATATATATAAAAACCACAAGAGACCCAAAACAGACCCCTCAGGTACTCCAGATAAGATTTCTAGGAACCTAGATTTGCTAATTATCAATTGATACACACTGCAATCGATTTGATATACAGGGTGATTCACAAGTCGTGACCACAACCTCTTAAGATGCGGTCCTGTGTATGATATTTCATCTATGGTCACGACTTGTGAACCACCCTGTATAATTACGAAAAAAGTTCAATGCAATTGATCTATGTCATGATACTTCAACTTCGTCATTAACAAGTCATGATTTATATTGTCAAATGCCTTGGAGTAATCGATTAACATCACTGCTAGGCCCATTTTTTTATCAAGTGAGCTAGAAGATTTTGTGTGTTCAAAATACCAACCTGCGCTTTCCGACCCATGCACATCCGGGCACGCCTGGTAGCTGAGCAACAACCGGCTCTCGTCCGCGCATGCGTCGATATTCGATAGGGGCTGCCGGCACTCCCCATGCCCCCTGTTGTAGGAGAAGAGGAAGGGGCCCCTGAAAGGGCAGGGGATGGAGACAGCCGTCTCACGGAACATCGAGTAGAGAAGCGCGTCGCCTGTGATCATGGCGCAGAGGGATGGCAGCGCCTCGCGACCATGACAGTAAGCTAGAAATAATATTATTTATGGATATGTCAAAAAAGTGGTAAACGTCATGAACTGAAGCGTTGTCTTGATTTTATTTAACAATGCTTTTAATAAGTGAACAGTACTTAAAAGTTACTCGAAATTAAGAATCAGCATTAGTGACGTCATTTCTATGACAAGACGTTTGGGACTGCTATGCCTAATATGTCTAACGCCGGTCGTATCAAGGGAACTCAATTTTTTTTATTAATCTTTTTAGCTGACTGCAACACAGGTTTCTGTATCAGATTAGGTCTATGTTATGATTTCCTTCAATCTTTCGGTAACATCTAAACAAAACTTGCGCCCTTGTATGGATATCTCGTGGGCTATAAAAGTCGAAATCTTTAAGGTACTACAATCTTAACATGTATACGAGGAACACTAGACAAGAAGTCCACCTAGCCATGAAATAAAAGTCGATCGGTTTTTTTGATTTTATTTTCCAGTATGATCCCCCTAAATCAATGCGCTTGAGCCATTTCTCCTCGAGTGAACTTTTACCCTTAGAAAAATATGTTCCATCTTGATTCTCAAAAAGTCGGCAGCTGGTGTCATCATCTGAGTCTAAACAGATAAAAGTGAGACGGAGCCAAGTCTGAACTATAGGGAGGTTGGTCTATCTCAACCAAGTTGAATTCCTGCACCATTGGTCTAATTTTGGCAGCCTTGCGACAGAAACTCTTTTCGATTGGAAAAATCGGGTCCTTTCTGGCAGATTGCTTTACGTAAATTTTTCAGCGTGTTTGCATAGGTGTCCACATTTATGCTATCCCTTTTGGAATATGGGTATTTCTCAACAAATTTAGAAATTTCATTTTGCATTTCTTTAGAAAAAAAATTAATGAAAATATATCATTTTTTGCAGAAATATAAAGTTTTACTTTAGTGAGGTTCATTAAAAATGAAGGTCCTCCATATTTTTGTGTAAAACATGTATAAAAATGACTTTTAAAAATTTTTGGTGTGAGAGAATGACTGACATTATGGGGGAATGATTTTTACAACAATTTATTAATCGATGTATTGATATTTGTTTTATACTTTGGAGAGCTTAGATAGTCCTTCTTTCTTGGGCACATCCCCGTATTTTAATCCTTCTCTAAGAACTTAACAACATCACCCTTAACTTTCAGCATTTTGGTGCTAACTTTGGTACAGTTCTTTTTGTACGTATCGTTTTTGACAAAATGTTCGATCTATATAGCAATTTGTATTTTTGCACTAATTGCAGCTTTAACATTTTGTAATATTTTCCTTTTTTCCATGCTTACTTCCAAGATCTTTATAGTTGTTCTTGAGGTCCGTTGACAGTCCTCCGAAAATAAGGCTTTTTTTTACAATATCAGGAACTTATATACGTATATTCTTTAAAAGCTAAAACACTTTAGTTGCTGGAGAGTTTGGGTCAGTATTCTCAGTTTTCAATCTCAAATACCTCTTCTTATATTTTTCGCTAAGCTTGCCTGCGTTCCTTACTTTATTTTCCAAACTTTTAATCTTCGCCTACAGAATAGTTCGCCGCTTGCGCATTCTACGTCTGTTGAGAGCAGACAAATTCTCTGCTCTGTGCTGTAAAGATGGTGCGGGACTTGGTGAGGGTGTCTCCTCAACTCTGTAAATTTTTTCGTAATGTAACTCGCTTTTCCCTATAAACTTTACTGTTCTACTTCCATTGTTTTCGTTTTTGGCTAGATTCTCTTGCACTCATAGAACTTATTGACTTAACTTGATCTTTACTCTTCTTCTTTAAATACTTTAATCTTCCTTTTTCACGCAAAGCTTCTAAAGACTCAGCATTACTTTTCATTTGTTCTCGCCTCTTTCTATCGTACTCCTTCTTTTTTCATTTCTTTACTTCTTCCCTTAACTTCTTAATTTTTCCCATTCCCTCACTTTCTAATATAGCGAGGGAATGGCCGTGAGGGAATGACGGATTTGCATATACGACACCGTAACCAACAGTACATCACCTCAAATTGATTTCGCATTTCGTGAATGCATTGTATTCCCCAAAACAAGAAAAAATCTTCAAAACATTCTGACAGTGTGATGACTTAACTTTTAATATAAACAGTGAGGTGATGACACAGAGAAATGTAATGTTCTAATTATTGAAATCCAATGCTTTTTTACAGCAACTCTTTTCACTATTGCAGTATTGCCAAGTTTTGAAGACATAACAGCTGCGATCAAAAATATCAAATAATGTGACTACAAATCGAATATTTATAATGGGTGAGAGAATGATTTCATTTCAAGGGACATAATGTTTAGATAGATTTTTTTTATACACATATTTATTTTTTAGCAATGAAAGCTTGACTATAAAATCCATACTTATTACCAAATATTTTAGTAATATTCAAATTATAAGAATATGATACTGATTTGATTGTATATATTTTTCTATTATTAATTTCGGACCCAGGGACGAGATGAGGGAATGAATTTTACACTAAAAAATTAATCGTATTTTTTGTGAATATATGCTATTATCTACATTTTGCCTTCTAAAATATTAGTTTAGATACTTATTGATATAACAAAAATGTTAAATTGATGATAAATCCTTGCAACTTAGCATCAATGGCTCAGGACATTTGCTGAGAAATACCCATATATTCAATGAAAACGATGCCCCTGATGTCCCAAAAATCTGATGCCATCAATTTTCCAGAATAGGGTTACGTCCGCACCTCTTTAGGGGGTGGAGACGCTTTCTGAACCCACTGCTTGGGTACTGTTTTTGACTTAGCATTAAAATGATGCACACAGTTCTCGTCGCTCATCACAATTTGTGCCAAAAACTCAGAATCGCTGGTCAAAGTTTAGCGACCTTCACACGACGATTTTAAGAAAACATCCCAACTAACAATTATCACTCCTATTAGAGTTGCAAGAATGATTATGCGGTATTCCTTACACAGCATTGTATACTGTAAGAACATTGGCAAAACACTCTTAGAACAGCTATACAAGCGGAATGGGCACACCTAACAGGACACGTCAGTCATTTAAGAGGTTGTATAAGGGCTGCAGGTAACAGTTATACAACAAAAGTGTAAGCCTCTTGCAGCCGCTATAGGACATTTGCGTCAGTGCAAGATTCAGTTTTTGTCAACTATACAACTATTCTGTTACGTGATTCTACTTTATTGCAACCAAACTATTTCTTATGTATTGTATAGACGAAGTGAAGAATATATAACTAACACATTACAGTCATCTTGTTTACTTACATATCGGCCATTGTGAATTTCATACACAGGTATATGATAAACTTCTACACTGTGATATAGGGCTATTGAATTACTTGCGCAGCAAATTTTATTGTGATTATCGTGGAAAGTAGTTACCCAATTTCTACGGGCTTCGTATTTGATTCATATTTTGATAATGATCAAAAGTATGTCTAGATTTTTAAGGTGGAAACTGAACTTATCTGCGTTAAATCTTCCACAAATCCTATATTTAGACACAATTACACTAATGTTTATCACTTTATATCTGTAATTTCGAACTGAAACATAATTATTTAATATTAAATAGAGGAATACATGTTTGCCCAATATGGCGGGTGGTTGTGTATAATCATGGCATCGTCCATGTTGTCTTTAGTTTATTAGAATATTTTGGCGTTGCCTGCAGGTGTTATACAACAATTTGACAAATGTCTGAAATGAAATACCGACAGAATCGAATGATTTACCCAGAATTTGTACCAGATCTATATCTTATGTTTGAACAGTTGATAAAACCTTTTGAACCAATATGCATGTGTTGTTTGTCTTAAAACATTGGTTATGGCATTTCAATAAAAATATGACAGCAGAAAGTTAGGTTATGGTGAAGTTGTATACCAACATATTTAGCATATGTACAGCCTTTAGCAGTTACTAAACAACAGTTGTATAAGTGCTTCTGTTGGGAGCAATTTGTTGGCTAAAGTAGTAAATTGCAGAGCAAAACAACAAGGCTCCGGTTTGTTTTATAAACGTTACCATGGATGCCACAACACAACCATTTTGACTAACGTGCAAATATGCCGTATAAAATAGTTGTATAAGCGTTTATGCAACAGTTAAAAATTTGCCCTATAAGGTATTGTATACCTATTCTATAAGAATATTCTAAACACCTCATTTTGGAACAAATATGTTGCAGAAAGCAAATTTGCATTCCACACAACATTAAGCCAGCATTTTGGTGTTCAGGCAACAACAATAGAGAGCTTCTATGGCTGAACGGTTCTTTTACCAAAAGCTTATAACACTACGTTGCTAGTTGGGATGGCTTCAACTTTTTGACTCATTTCATCATATGTTGCTGGTTTGGCTCTTCCTCTTCTGGGATCGTCTTCTATGGTTTCACGCTCCCATCGAAACTGTTTCGACCGAACTTTTATTGTATTTCATTGTGCCACATGATTGTTTTGAAGCTGATGGCTCGATTTTGTCGGAAATTCTATGACACTGCAATACCGTACTTTTAAGTTACAGATTTTTCCTCATAACTCACTTTATAATTCACAAACTATTTATAAAAATTAACTCAAATTTTGCAAGTAATGTTAGAACACATGCCACTATCTGACTTATTATGCATGTGTGTTTCAATTTTTTTTCATAGCTAGGTAGATTTCTTTTCCAGTGTCGCTAGAACAGCTGTTCGATGTCAATGATGTCTTCGATCTTGAAGGTTAACGGGAATGACGTCACTGTTACAGTTGGAACATTTAATATTGAAGCTTAAACTATGATATTGGAATGAATTTTGGGACTGTTTTTCATTTGGATATAACTGATTAATTAGACAATGTCTCAGCACAAACTGTCGTCTACACCACCGTCCCTACGAAGTTTTCATTTGTATACCTTTTGACTATATTTTCGTTAAATTGAAACAAGTATTTCACTTTTTTTACTACCATGTTTGTGCGGCTCTATTCTCAGAAAGCTTAATTATATCTATCGAGCTA